TCCACGAGAGGCCACCTAAATATGAAAAGGCGGTATGGGATAAGATGAATAGGAACGCGTGTGGGGTGATCAGGTCCTGTTTGGAACAGGAACTGAAATATGATGTGATTGGGGTGACGTCTGCAATGAAGATGTCACAAAGAGTGTTGAGAACAGGTTGCACTTACTGCGAAGACTCTTCAGATTTCAGATGTCCAGAGGCACCTCGCTAGCGGCTCATGTGAACAACTACACTAAGTTGTTGTCGGACTTGATGAATGTTGATGAGAAGATATCGGATGAGTACAAGACGATTATTTTGTTGGGCTCCTTACCCGATGAGGAGTATGATACCTTCGTGCTCACTTTGTTGAACGGGAAATCTTCTATCAGCTATAGTGAAGTGACTAACGCTTTGACCAATTATGATTTGAGGAGGAAGGATAAGGAGACTTCCCGTGCTAGCACTTCAGGCGAGGCCTTGTCGACGAGAGGGAGAAGCCCATATCCGAAAGGTGGTAATAGAGAGAGGTCAAAGTCTAGAGGCCACCACTAATTAGCAAAGAACCAATGTGCATTCTGCAAGGAGCAGGGACATTGGAAGAGAGACTGCCCGAAGCTCAAGGAGAAAGAGAATGGCAAGAAAAAGGGCCCGAAGGCCAATGAGGTGAATATTGCGAAAGGCGATGATTCCGATGATTCGTGCTTTTCTCTACTGATTACTCCGGAGGTGAACCATGTGGATGCATCAGATTGGATGCTTGATTCCGGCGCTACTTTTCATGTGACCCCTAGGCGAGACTGGTTTGCATCTTTTGAGAAAGTCGACGGGGGCGTTGTTGTCATGGGAAATGATCAATCCTGTGGCGTTTGTGGGATAGGTACCGTGCGGATTAGGATGCACGATGGAGTAGTCCGTGAGTTGAAGGAGGTGAGATTTGTTCCTCAACTGAAGAAAAATCTTATCTCAGTTGGAGCTTTGGAGGCGAAGGGATTCAAGGTGACTTTCGAAAACGCTGTAGCGAAGGTTACTAAGGGATCATTGGTGGTGATGAGGGGAGTCCGCAATCGGAATTTGTATTATCTGAAGGGAAGCACCGAGATTGGCCAGGTTGCTTCGTCTATTTTAGAAGCGGACATGAGCAGACTTTGGCACTATAGATTGGGGCACACAGGTGAAAAGTCACTGCAGGTATTGTACAAGCAGGGGCTATTGAAGGGAGCCAAGAGTGGGAAGATTGAGTTCTGTAAGCACTGTGTTCTTGGCAAGGGGCTATTGAAGGGAGCCAAGAGTGGGAAGATTGAGTTCTGTAAGCACTGTGTTCTTGGCAAGAAGACAAATGTGAAGTTCGGGACTGCCATTCATCAGACGAGGGGTATCCTGGACTATGTGCACACAGACGTTTGGGGTCCCACCAAGACTGCATCACTTGGTGGTCGACATTGGTTCGTCACTTTTGTAGATGACTATTCTAGGCGTTGTTGGGTGTACACCATGACGAAGAAGAGTGAAGTCCTAGATTTGTTTGTGGAGTGGAAGAAGAGATTGGAACTGCAGACTGGGAGAAAGATCAAGACGTTGCGATCCGACAACGGTGGTGAGTATACTTCTGACCCCTTTCAGCAGCTATGTCGAGACGAGGGCATAGAGAGACACTTCACAGTTAGTCATACACCGCAGCAAAATGGGGTGGCAGAGAGGTTGAATCGGTCTTTACTGGAGAAGATCCGATGCTTATTGTCGCAGAGTGGTTTGGAGAAGATCTTTTGGGCTGAGGCACTTACATATGCGAGCCACCTCATTAATAGGCTGCCTTCATCTGCGATTGAGGGGAAAACCCCTATGGAGATGTGGTCGGGAAAGCCAGCACATGACTATGACCAGCTCAAGGTATTCGGGTGCCCTGCATATTATCATGTTAGAACTGATAAATTGGAACCTCGAGCTAGGAAGGCCATATTTGTAGGATTCAAGCGTGGTGTCAAGGGATACAAGCTTTGGGATCCAGTTGATAAGAAGATTGTGCTGAGTAGGGACGTCACGTTTGATGAAGCTTCTATCTTGAAGCTTCCCAGCTCTCATCAGGTGGAGAGCGACCCGACGGAGGAGATATCGCAGGTGGTGGAGATTGATGCAGCTCCATATTGTCCAGATGGTACAGTATCCATGCAGGTGCCGACTGAGGTGACGCCAGGCGAGCACGACGGTGATACGGAGGATACGTGTACTGATGTGCAGGATCAGGAACCGACGGTTCAGGTTCAAGATCCTATTGCGGTTCGGAGACAGAGGAGAAACATACAGATGCCAGCACGGTATGCCGACACAGTTGCGTATGCACTTCCGGTGGAGAGTATCGATGAGTTGGTGCCTACTACATTCAGAGAGGCCGAGCAGAGTTCGGAGGCTGATTCGTGGCAGGTGGCTATGCAGGAGGAGATGGAGTCTCTTCATAAGAACGATACATGAGAGCTTGTTGAGCTTCCAAAGGGGCGAAAGGTAGTTGGCTGCAAGTGGGTATACACGAAGAAGGAGGGCATTGAAGGCACTCCATTGAGGTTCAAGGCTAGGTTGGTTGTGAAGGGCTATGCACAGGAGGAAGGAATAGATTATAATGAGGTTTTTTCTCCGGTGGTGAAGCACTCTTCGATTCGGATTCTGCTAGCTTTGGTGGCACAGTATGGTTTGGAGTTAGATCAGTTGGATGTGAAGACGGCATTTCTTCATGGTGATCTTGATGAAGAAATATATATGACTCAGCCATTGGGATTCCGAGCTGCAGGGAAAGATAAGTTGGTTTGCAGGTTGAAGAAATCGCTATACGGTTTGAAGCAGTCTCCTCGACAGTGGTATAGGCGATTTGATGGTTTTATGATTGGTCATTCGTACACTCGGAGCCAGTTTGATCCTTGTGTATATTTTCTCAAGTTGAAAGGAGGTGCGTACATTTATTTGTTGCTCTATGTCGATGACATGTTGGTTGCCTCTATTTTGGAAAAGTTCAGCTATCAAATGAGTTTGAGATGAAAGACTTGGGTGAGGCGAAGCGCATTCTAGGGATGGAGATCGGCAGAGACAAGAAGAAGGGCAAAATTTGTTTGACACATTCTACAGCGATTCCATGTTAGCATGGATACGAAGCCAGTTAGTGTACCATTGGGAGCCCATTTGAAGCTTTCAGCTGGTCTTTCACCGAAGTCAGTTGAAGATCGTGAGTTGATGTCGAAGACTCCATATGCGAGTGCGGTTGGGAGCTTGATGTACGCAATGGTATGTACGAGACCAGATTTGTCACAGGCGGTAAGCATGGTTTCGAGATATATGCACGATCCAGGAGTGGGTCATTGGGACGGCGTGAAATGGATTTTGAGGTACATTCGAGGTACGCTCAATGTTGGTTTGGTTTATGAGCGGGACACTACAGGTGGGCAGCTATGCATCGGTTATGTTGATTTGGATTATGCCGGGGATTTGGATAAGCGCCGGTCTACGACAGGGTATGTGTTTACTTTGACTCGTGCGCCGGTGTGTTGGAGATGCACCTTACAGTCGACGGTGGCTTTGTCTACGACGGAGGCAGAGTATATGGCAGTTACGGAGGCTGTGAAGGAGGCTATTTGGCTTCGAGGACTTTTGGAGGAACTTGGTATATCGCAGAGGTCCGTCACTATTCATTGTGATAGCATGAGTGCTATCTATTTGGCGAAGAATCAGGTTTTTCATGCGAGGACGAAGCACATTGACGTTCGTTATCACTTCGTTCGAGATGTTCTTGAAGATAGCGATGTGGAAATTGTGAAAGTCCACACGAAGGATAATCCGGCGGATATGCTCACTAAGGTGGTTCCGAGCAACAAGTTTGATCATTGTCGAAACTTGTTGCACATTCATGATTGTTGAGGCCGTTGGCGGCCATTTGGGTGAACTACGTTCGGCTTGATTCCTTGGGCAAGAGGATACGTAGGCAGTCTTTCAGATGCAGCCGGTTTGGATTAGTTGATTTTGATGGGGGTGAGATTGTTTGGACTCTCGTTCGGATTCTCGACTTGTTGTGGATTGAGTTCGTACTGGACACAACAAGTGAGACATTTGATTGCTTTGGTATCGGCTCAGTTTTGGAAAAACTTCACCGAGGTGGAGAATTGTGAGCGGACGTGGGCCCCCCCATCCACGTGATGCTTCTGTCCGCGTACGAAGCAGAGAACAAAACCGACTCAAGTTCGGTTTTGATGTTCCGCACGAAGCCGAAGCCCACGAGAAGGCCCACAAACCGATTTTTCCACCTAAGGCTATATATATCCTTTGTAATTCGTTCCCTAGGTTTTGTGCAGGAGGTTTTCGGCTGGGTGTTTCTCTTTTGACTGCGCGGTGCAAGCTAAGGAGGTTAGGCGGCTGCAGCAAAGAGAGCACGGAATTTGTTGTGTCGGCTGACTGCGGGAGAAAATTTGTGCAGTCTCTTCTTTGGTTTTTTGTGCATCCTTTTGTAGAGAGAGTTTGTGAGGGATTTGAGAGAGTTTGTTTGAGGGTTTAGATTGTGAGTGATTGTAAACCCTAGTTGTATTCTCTCCCTCTATTAGTAGATCTCCTCCCTTCTTGTCCCGTGGACGTAGGCAATTTGCCGAACCACGTAAAATTGATTGTACTGCTATTTGGGTGATTTGTAATAGCTTTTTAGGTTCTCTCGACGCGCAGTCTTAGAGCTGACGAGAGGAAGAGCTAATATCTCACTTTGATGAGATATTAGGCTTCAGATTCTTGTTCCCTTTGAGAAACAAGAATTCTTATTGCGATCTAACTCTTGTTGTGCTGCCGAAGTGCTGCCGAAATTTCCGCTGCGCGCAACATAAACTACACTAATTATTTTGTGTCATCAGCTTGTTGCCCGGGGAGGATATCATAAACCACCACTCCAACATAAAACACCCATATGTCACTCTCAAGATCACTCTATGAAGTTTTCACAATCTTTAAAACTGGGATAGAGACCCAAAAACGGAATTAGAAAAAAAAATTTAAAAGAGGAACCCAAAAGAAATGAAACTGTCTTCTACATATCAACATTCCTCAAAAAACAAGATCAAACCAACAACACAATACTAGTTGGAAGCCAAGAGCCCTTACTGTTTTCAAGTCACTAGATATATTATTTACATCAACTGAAGTACCAAGCATATAAAACCTATTAATTGAACATGGAGAATCTCTTATCAAGATGGTAGTGAGATTTGTTCAAGCAGCACCATCTCCTTCATGAAGAAGCATCTGATCGAAATGCCAAACTCCTGCAAGAAGATTGAAATATTGTTACAATGATAACGCTACGAGGCAGAAAATTAAATTGCAGAATGGAGCAGAGTTTAGCAAATTATACCATGTCCTTTGCCAACTCTTCGAAGTTGAGCAACATACTCAGAGATTTTCTTTATAGACTCCACCTGCATATCAAAATAAAGTCGAATTCATTCCTTTCAGAGTCAGACAAGGTCTATAATCGATAATATCTACACATTATAAGTCCAATTTTATAAAGAGTCACATGCATAGACTGTTCTTCACTAATCAATTTTTAACAAGATCTACATCTGGTACCTCTCCCCCCTCTTTTTTTTTCTCTTTTCGTTTCTTCATCTAAGTTAACTTGGATATAACTTAATCTAAGAAAATTCTCAATGTCAGTATCTAGACTTCTTAATATAATTAATTGTGATTAGTTAGGGATCCAACCAAAGAGAAGGAAGCATTATTAAAGCATATCATAAGATAGATGGAGCCCATGTTTAACGCATGACATTGACGGGTTAGGTCTCAAGTCCTTGTGAATTGATCAGACTTTGTTAGTTTTTTCAGTCGATTAAAATCAATATTTTAGGCTGTTAGCATCCCCATGAGGTGTTGCCAACAAACAAAACTTTACAGACACTACAATATAACAGTAAATTAGGAAGAATAGGACTTTTACCTGCTCTGCAAGAAAGTTGCTGTCGACAAAATCCACCATCTGAATATCATTGCTTTGTTCAGCCACCTGGTTACCAAAAGAAATTTATAAAGAAAGTTAGAAACCACATTATAGCATCATCATACTGCATTAAAGATGAAGAGAATTACAAATTCAGCTAAGATGGACTTACATTTCGCAGATTTATTAGCTTCTGGTTTGTCACCTTTTCGAGAGACAAAGCAAGCTCCATAGCTGAATTCCAAAAAACATCAGAATGCTATTTTTTATGTTTTTTGAATGGCGCAATGTGGTGGAGGAAATTATACAGAACAAGATTCCTCACAAGGAAAATATTTACTATTAAGGATAGCTTGCGCTGCCCATCACAATAACCTTGAAAGCAGCTTCAACCATTAATGATGTAATTCTTCGCGGGCTGGGCTCCTACTCTAACTCAACTGCAGATGCCTACCTTAGCAAGTAATGAGAACTCATTTAAATGTTATGATTTTAAAAGAAGACAATACCTTTCATCATTGATCAGCTATCATTTCCACATGGTTTATATCAGATTCTTGAATATTTATAATTTCGGATTCCAACTTGAAAATAGAAAGTCCATGATTCTTGAATGATCAGCTATCATCTCCACACGGTTCATATCAGATAGTTGAGCAGAGTGGTTTTGCTAAAAATTATACATTACTTAAGTCAAGAGAAGCGCCTAACTTTCATATGCTGAACGACATCTGTGACAAATATTCATAATGATGATATCTGCCTTATAATAACAATTACCCTAAGAAGATATATAAATGAAAAAAACGTGAACAGATGCTTATGAATACAAACAAGTTATGCTGTACTTATCAAATGCCAAACTAAAAAAATTCAAGCAAATAAGAAAAGTTCTACTGTATCTTGAACATTAATAGAATATGTGCACATATTGACAACATAGTTTGGAAAAAAATGGAACTCAGTATAAGTCATATAGATTTACTCACCATACAGAGCATCTCCTTTCTCAGGGTGATCAAACTCACTCGAGGGCATTAGTATTGATTGGAGCTTCACTCTCCCTCCACGCTTGTTCTAAAAAGCAATAGGAACCCTCATTGAGATGTCTTCACAATTTTAGACAAGTGGGAGTGAATATACCTGGTACTCCATAAATTTCTGTGCATGATCTCTTTCCTCGTAACTGGATTCTTTGAAAAAACTGAAAGATTGGTCAAGAACACAAATTATTGAGATGAAGGAAATGAAGAGCTAGAATGGAGAAGTATTTTGATGTATGTACTGCTTACTGGGCAAGGCCTCGAAGGGCGATGTTGTCTCGGTCAAAGTACGCATACATAGCATGATATATGTAAGAAATGTTGTATTCAACACTGTCGGTGAAGAACAAGCTAATAATTAGGAGAACAGCTATTTTGCACCAAGAAAAAGTTATTATTATTATTATTAAAGAAATGCCAATAAAAAGTTAATGCAAAGGCAAGTCACTATGCCACTGAAGGAAAAGAAAATGGTTTAAGTAAAATTCCCTATATAACCTTTTCTTATATTTCACACATGGTACATCTTTCGTAGTGTGAGGCTACAGGAAGTGCCCAAATCTCTTTATAAAGAAGTACGTGAGACAACATCAAGTTACAAAGAACATGCGCCGTTTTTTTTCTTTGCGGTGGGGTGGGGCGGGGTGGGGGGGGGGTCGGTGCTCCTTCATTGATAAAGTGCTAATGATATATACTCTGCCAATGGAAAGAGCAAATACCGAGGACATCGCACCATCTTCACAAATGCAAGACCAATTGTCATCATAAATAGTAAAAAAAAATAATTCTTTCGTAGAAACTAATATCATGATTATACTTCTCTCTACCTGTTTGGGTGATTCGGAGGAAATCTCTTATTAGATTTTAGTAGGGGTGAAAATCCTTTAGACTGCAATTTGATGTCAAATCCTCACAATAAAAATTCAAAGATTTTATTAATTGAATGCCTTATTACTCCACTAACAACATTGGTTTTTCTCTATAAAGTAGTTTACATTCCTAATTAAACATTTAGCCATAGAACCCTTTTATACCAAACATTAACAAATAGCAGAATAAGGCCGTTAGCCAAGAAAAATTAAAAGCAAGAAAGAGATATCATAGTTAACCAAATAGTTGGTGTACACAGACTACAACTATTACAAGGGAATATAAACCGATATTTCAAAACAATTTTCACCAATATGAGTAGATGATGCTGGATTAGTCACCAGTTTACAAACCCACTCTCCATCTTAGAACATCTTAATCTGGTCTAAAACTATCAAAAAAATATGTTAATTTTGATTTCTTAAGCGGACGTGATCATAAATCTCAACCAATTACCAAGGAGAGCCAAAGGGTTTTGCCTTTATAGAAACAAATGCACGCTCATGGATTAAAAACATCTAGGAAACGATCTGTGATGCCCCACTAACAGTCCCGCAGTGAAAAATTGATAGAGTTTAAAAGGGTTTAAATGATGAGTCGAAAAAGCCGAGTACAACATTGACTAGCCAATTTTACCAATGAATTGAGCTAAACTACATGTTGCACTCAGTGGGTCCTACGTTTACATTGGGCCAACTGGCTCACGGCTCACGGGCCCTGGGGCGTGACAATTAACATAGGCTTGACCCAAACCACGTGTTGCTGGGTCTCCCTATAATTAACATAGTTTGACGTAGGTTCCACCATGTTATTCTAAATATTTATACAACCAAACTTATGTGTTTCTTTAGAGATAAGAAAGCTAACACCATAAACAGACTAAACTATTGATTAAATCAAGTAGTAAACCCTCTTTGATTTTCCATAGATGTGAAAATATGCTGAAAATGATGAATATATACTATGGACCAATCTACATGAGTCAAATAAAATGACAATTAGATTCTCTTCTTCTTAAAAAAAAAGAGCATCAAATTTGACAAAACTAACATATATCCTTAAAAACCCATGACCAATAAATCAAAACAAATGAAGCATACGAAGTACAACATCAAATAAACAGGATTCCTTAAACCCCATAAAAAAAAACTGAAAACACCCAGAAAAATATGATCTTTTTTTTTCAAAAATTAACTCATCTCCCTTAAACCAATTAAACTACTAAAAAACAAGAATTAAAGAAAACCCACTTGATTTGTTCATTTATAGCCGCCTCACAGTCACCAGCAAACTTCTGGCGAGCAAGTGACTGATCAGGAACGGAGGGGACCAAGTTGAGATCTTGCCTAAGCTCTTCAAAGGGTTGGAAGACAACGCCGGAGCGGCCATGGCTATTGTGGGCCCATTTGTTGGGTTTTTTTTTGGAAAATGAAGAAAGGAGTTGAGAGAGGAGGAGGTGGTTGTTGTGAGAGGAGGAGGAGAGACTAGAGAGAGGAAAGGAGAGGTCTTTAGAATCATGGTGGAGAGAGAGAGAGAGAGAGAGAGAGAGAGAGAGCTGTAAACTGAGTACTGAAGAGGAGGAGAGAGTTTTGTAGGAGGACTTATTTTCATGAGGGGTACATTTTGCATATATACTCTTTGCAAATATATATTTTGCATTCATTAAATTTTAAAAGCACGTCTTCATCAGAGTTATTATTATTATTATTTATTATTTTGACATCGATTGATACTGCTAATGAACACTAATGAAGATGAAATTGAGGAAGGTAGAACTTCCTAATAAGGGTCATAAAGTTTCTGGAATAAGATACGATGTTGATTTTTATGCTTTCCAATATAAGAGTTTCGTTAAGAATATGTTTTATTTATATTTCAGGTTTAGACGATGAAAAACTATAAATAAGTAAAGTTTTTTTATCATTAGAACATGCTTTTTTCTAAAACTAGAAAGTTGAGGTGAAATATCATATTATAATATTTCAATCAGACATTAAAGTAATGTGACACACACTAAGCGACATTTCATTATTTAGCTTTATCGTGCATCAAAAACAAATTTCACGCTATGAAATTTGTCTCGAACCTAACGTGCTTGAGATTTTATATGAGAGCGACTTTACATAGATTTAGATAACTAGTATGTAAGACCTGAATGCATATTAAGTAATCATATGAGACTAAAACATTCGAGGGCTATTTAATTCTCTACATGAATTTGCATACTTGTATAACTAATATATTCATGTTTTTTTTAATATAAATGGGAGGTGAACTCATTGCAGATCTGTTCGTTTATTCCAAAGGAAAACAATATAATCTTCTCTCCAAATTATCATCTGTGAAATGTTGTTGACTACGACGTATCCTTGTTACTATAATTGAGAGATTGACTCTACAATCAAAATTCTCACCTCGTCCATTTTTTTATTTATTTTTTTAGTGTTTTTTTTTTGTGCATTTGAGCATTAATATATAGTATAATTTATGCAACTCTTGAGATCCAAGCGGAATGTTTATAGAAGTAGATTAGTCGTGAAATAATTATAGTGCATAATTAATTAAGAGAATTTGATTAGCCACTGAGAGAAGATACATGAATGCACTAATTATGGGTTCATTTCTCACTACTATTCATATTAAATGCATTATTAGTAGGTTCAGAAGGGCAGATGTCATAAATTACTTTGTTAGTAGGATCTAATTAGTGTGTTGTAATAGTTTTTTATGGAAAAAATAGTAAGACACATCCAAACTAAACTAAAAACCCAGAAACATAATAATAAAATTGTGGATAAGCGATGCTCCTTATCAAACCGCAGAATATTGTGTAAAAACGGTAGGTCTTTGAGTCATACCACAAAATCATCAATTTTCTTAGCTCTTCAAACCAACACATGAGCTATTAAATTCCTCATTTGATGAGCTATTTGAAAATCATATTCCTCAAGTTGTGCGCAACGTTGCTGAATATATCATCCACAAATTGTCTGAAAATTGAGCATTGTTATGCTCCATTTTGGATATCTCTAATTACCACCTCCACATCTTCTTAGAAAATTACCTTTCCACATCGAGTGTTAAGAACAAATGTAATAGCTTCTCACACCGCTTAAAATTCTGCATGCTCAGAATTACCTCGTATCCAAATATTATGATAAGTATATTGCAATAGTTAGTAATATATATTATCATAACTTTATATGCTAATTCTATACTACGTACACTAAGAGGTTAACATTTATAGCAGTATTCCTCTCCACGAAATTTTTTATATCAGACAAACATATTAATATATTATAGTATTAGATAGATGTTAGATTCTTATTAAATATTAAATTATCTTAAATTACAATATATTTTATAAATATAAGTTATGATATTATTATCTTAAATATTAATTTTATATTTATCGTATAATACCTCATATCTAAAGTGAAATATTTATCTTATTTAACATAAGATAGACTAACATGGTTAAGATTTATGATATATATTAGTTTTTATGTTTATAATGTAAGAAATAGAATGAATTAAATAAAATTTGAGGAATATGATTAAAGCTTATAATATATATTTAATTTTTTTAATATTAGTTATTATGTTTATTGTAAGAATAGTTATAGTGTAATAAATAGTATGAATTGAATAAATTTCAAGGCATTATTGGAAATTGTTAAATTTTAGAAGGGTAAAAGAGGCAATCAAAAGTTTTAACACACTAATTTTTTTTTGTAAATAGTATAGATTAGTTAAATGAGACTTTGATTGCAATATAGTGATTTGGATGAATATTGAGGGATATGTTAGGAAATTAAAAGTTTTGACAACCATATTCTCTTTTATAAATAGTATTGATTGATTTGTACATTTTTTGCTATTCAATTGATAATCAAACTTGAGAATATAAGCATAAACGGGTGTATATGTGAAAAAAAAAATTTAATGAGGAGGGTTTGTTGTTGGGTCTGGCTTTATGAGGAATTTTGGACGGATACGGTGGGAAGACCTCGCACTTTCTCGTCGATTGCGTTGCACGCGCTCCGCCGGGTCATCAGGGAACCGCCTCAGCGATCTCCGCACAAATATCCACACCGTCTCTCTCTCTCTCTCTCTCTCTCTGAGTATTTAATACGTCAACTTTTAACGACATTCAACAAGATACGGGGTCGTATATCGTAAATGTTGGCGTGGTAAATTAATGTAATTAATCTGAATATAGAGCGATTGCACGCCGCTGTGTGCTTTATAAATCCATCTCAAATGTCTTTAACTAATTGGCTGAAACAAGGCATTAGTTCGTTAGGTAGTGATGTTCAGAGTGCATTCATCAAAGGTAGAAGTATATCTCACAACATTCTCATAGCTTAGGAGTTGCTACACATGTATGATAGGAAATAAATAAGCCCTAAATGTGTCGTGAAAGCGGACCTCAGAAAAGCTCATGATTCCTTAAGCTGGGAATTTTTGGATGAGCTCCTTTTAGGCCTTGGCTTCCTATGTAGACTCAGAAAAGGTATTATGGAATGTGTCAAAACAATTTCATTTTCTATCTGTACCCCAAGCCAACCCAGACCGGCCAAACGTCCTTTCTCGCCAAGCCGAGACAGACATCCTTCCACTAGTGGAAAATCATGTATCGCTGACGACAACACGCTGACGGGAATTTCCTTATGTCGCTGACGGGAATTCCCGTCAGCGATGTTGCCGTCACAAATGCGTTATACCCGTCGGCGATGTGATCATTGCCTACGGGAAATAAACATCGCTGACGGGAAGCCCGTCAGCGATGTTTGATATAAATTTTAATCGATCAGCCTCTCGTTACCAAATTAAAACGCCCTAATTTACACTCGCCGCCGCCCTCGACTCCCTTCTGGCAGCTCTGACTCGCCGCCGGCCTAACCCCACTCGACTTCACCGCCGG